AGCTTAGTAAGGGACTTAGCCTTCTCTATGATCTTATAGCTTTACATATAGGATTAACAGTGGATAGTTTTTGGCTAATATGTGCAACAGTGCAGGGGGAATTTTTTTCCTAATAGCTGTTTATCTGTGTTTATCACTGTTTACCAATAGTTCTGCTAATCCTTGAGTTTTGCAACATTTGGGACCAGAGGATTTATAGATTTAGCCTATGCCTTTATAGTGTAGATATTATTCCTTTTAGGACTCTACCACTGATGGGTTGCACATTAGGGATTGGACACTTAGTAGACATTATAGGCTTTATAGATATCTTTCTTACGTGGTACAAATGCCATATAGGAGTTATTAACCTCTGGTATTGCCCCTCTATTTGGTTTTCCCTTCCTAGCCCTTTGAGCTTTATTTTTTCCTCTTTATGGGGTTATGTGTGTGTGTTTTTTATTTATTTTTTGTTTATGTTTATGATGATTAATATATTTATGTTTTTTATTAGTAACAGTCCACTCTGCTATATCCTACCTGTGTATCCTGGACATTTTGTCCTAGGATCTCTTTTTTTCTTTTTTCTTTCTTAGTCTACATATCTACAAAAGTCACCACCACTACAAGAACTCCCCCTCCATCAAATCCATAGGCGGGGATCATTCCGCCGAGGCGTTTAAGTTGGAGCTAGACTTTAGCTCCCAAAAAGTATGAGTGTGCTTATTTTCATTTTATTATTTATTGGAACTGTTATAATACTTCCCTATTAACTCTCCATTCACTCTCTCTTTTTTTTTACCACATATACTCCAAGGACACCCTGGGCGCTGCAACACCCCTTGTGTTTTCATCTTCTTTTTTACAGGACAAGAGACCCCAGTTCTGGTTATTAATCTGCCTTTTGGACTTCTGAATACTTCCTTGTTTTCCACAGGTGTAAAAAGGTTGTAAGAGAATTTGAGAGTTTTCAAATAACAAGAAGAATATATTTTTTACAGATTATTATAATGACTGGTTAGTACATTTTACATTATTGCACACACTAATCTTAGACTGGGTAATCATTCATGAGGTTCACTTGGTTAATTATTTAGCCTTTATTTGTGCTATTCACAGCAACATATGAACATTTTCTTTGAATACGCTCTTCATCAGGCCTACCTTTAGTAAGGGATGGCTTCACAGTGACATTGTAATGCAGTCAAACACACACTAATTCTAGACTACCTGAAGATGCCTCCTCCTTCTCGATGGCACAGCTTGTACATCTGGAGTATCACGCACTAGGTCTTCCTAGGCTGGGACACCAACTTCAATGGTAACTTCAATGGTATGCAGGGGCGTATTAGCCGTGAGGCAAACAAGGCATTTGCCTTGGGCGGCATTTTTCAGGGGGCGGCAAAAAACGCTGGCAGCAGGCGGGTGGCTGGCGAGGGAGCTCTTCCTCTGAGCTGACTGCTCAGCTCCCTCGCGCGCCGCAAAGTGAGGCTGGGAGCCGGAATATGACGTCATCTTCCGGCTCCCAGCCTCACTCTGCAGCTGGCGCGCGAGGGAGCTGAGCAGCCAGCTCAGAGGAAGAGCTCCCTCGCCAGCCGCCCGCCTGCTGCCAGCGCCGCCCGCCCGCCTGCTGCCAGCGCCGCCCGCCCGACCTGCAGCCACTAGACCACCGGACCACCAGGGAGAGAGACCCCCCCCCCACCCAGCACTCCCAAAGGTAAGGAGGTTGGGGGGGATTTAAATTAAAAAAAAAAGTTAATGAGTGTGTTTGTGTTTGTGTCTGTGTGTGTGTGTGTGTGTGACAGTGTCTGTGTATGTGTCTGACTGTGTGTGTATGTGTCTGACTGTGTGTGTGTGTTTGTGTGTGCGTCTGACTGTGTGTGTGTTTGTGTCTGACTGTGTTTGTGTGTTTGAGTGTGTGTGTGTTTGTGTCTGACTGTGTGTGTGTGACTGTGTATGTGTTTGTGTCTGACTGTGTTTGTGTCTGTGTATGTGTGACTGTGTGTCTGACTGTGTGTGTATGTCTGACTGTTTGTGTGTGTGTTTGTGTCTGACTGTGTGTGTGTCTGACTGTGTGTTTGTGTCTGTGTGTTTGTGACTGTGTGTGTGTCTGACTGTGTGTTTGTGTCTGACTGTTTGTGTGTGTGTCTGACTGTGTGTTTGTGTCTGTGTGTTTGTGACTGTTTGTGTGTGTGTCTGACTGTGTGTTTGTGTCTGTGTGTGTGTGTGTGTGTGTGTGACTGTGTCTGTGTATGTGTCTGACTGTGTGTGTATGTGTCTGACTGTGTGTGTATGTGTCTGACTGTGTGTGTGTGTTTGTCTGTTTGTGTGTCTGACTGTGTTTGTGTGTTTGAGTGTGTGTGTTTGTGTGTGACTGTGTGTGTGTGACTGTGTATGTGTTTGTGTCTGACTGTGTTTGTGTCTGTGTATGTGTGACTGTGTGTCTGACTGTTTGTGTGTGTGTTTGTGTCTGACTGTGTGTGTGTCTGACTGTGTGTTTGTGTCTGACTGTGTGTCTGACTGTGTGTGTGTTTGTCTGACTGTGTGTGTGTGTGTGTTTGTGTCTGACTGTGTGTGTGTGTGTCTGACTGTCTGTGTATGTGTCTGACTGTGTTTGTGTCTTACTGTGTGTGTGTATTTAGAAGGTGGGGCGGGGGGAAGGGTTGGGGGAGCGGGGGGCGCCTGAGCTTTGTCCTGCCTAGGGCGGGGGGCGCCTGAGTTTTGTCCTGCCTAGGGCAGCACAAAACCAGGATACACCACTGATGGTATGGCAGTGGAATGCCATGACAGATGGTTTGCTGGTGGTTCAGTATACTCTACAACTGTGTGAAGTGGATTAGCAGTAGGCATGGGGATGTCTTGATGAGACATCTTACTAAGTAAAAGTCCTAGGTTTGAGGTGATTGTTCCTGTCATTAAGTAGTGTGTTTAGGTATTAGCAGTTATTCATAGATGCTCAAATTTGGCTAATTATTTTGTGTTTAATGTTTGAAATTGCTAAAACTGAGCAATACTGAGTAATTGCCTATCTATTGCATATATATTGTGTATTTGACAGATGGATCCATGCACCATTTTACGAAAAAAGTCCTCATGAGGTGGAAATAGAATAGCAGACAGGAAATAAACAATATTTTACTGCTTCAGCTCTTTTTATTTTGCACAACACACTGATTAGGATGAGGCCAGCAGTGTGGTATTTTTGGTTATTTATTCCTCCTGAATACAGAATCAACCCATTATGTTAATTAACCTGATTTCTTTGCTTATGACCTTGTCTTGCATAAATGGTATTCTAAGCTTCATACCCATAACAACTTGTTGACCTCCTTAATTTGGCCTCTGCTTGAAAATCAAATCTTCAACAAGCAACAAAGTATTTGCAGCATTTCCAGATTGTTCTGTACATTGCTTTGTGACCCAGACTTTTTTTTTTTTTAAAAGCTACAATTCGTACACACATTTTATTCCCTAAATGTTTTAATCATCTATTTTTTTCATATAACATTTTATTTAAAATGTGTAAAATTAAATTGGTTTTATGACACCACTTTGTCCCAACATATATTTATTATGTTGTTTACACTATTGTAGTGTTAGAGAGTCTATCTATAATTCTTATTAATATTAAACTCTATATTGCAAATAAATATAACATTAAATACAATAATGTACAATATTTTAAAAGGATGAGTATAATCCTTCTAGCACTATTATTCATGGCTTTAGCCACTTTGAATACAGTACATTTAATCACTATGCTGCTTAAGTTATTTTTCTCTTCTAACTTTAACAGCTTTAAGAAATTCATGGGACCTCAGCTCTTCAGTGTTTGACTTGTCTGATGTACCGTAACCTTTGTGCAGAATTAAAAAGTCCATATACATGTTTTAAGAAAGTATACAATTATGTGAACCTCTTCTTGAATTGAAATTGGCATACCTACAACTTTTTATAAGACAATGTATTCAGTGTATATGTTTAATCCTATGAATTAAAAAAAAAAAAAAAGACTTACATATAAATTAGTCTGTGTGCATAACTTAATCATTCAAATCATGCACACCTTTTTAAGGTGCTGTTCAATCTAGGTAAAGGACCTTAACCTGGCACTCTGTGATGATAAAGTTTAGTGCAGTCTGTTGTTAACCTCTGATAAGTGTACTGTTGTGAGGCTGGAAGTTTGTTTATATTGATGGTACATCAAAACTTCCAAAGCAGCTCTGCTTCCTTCATCATAAAAAATTCCAGTAGACACATGGATTTAAATAACAAAAGTAATAGTAGCTCATAAAAACAATGCAAAACCCTGACCTTACAACACGTAACAATTAAATCATACATGAGCAATATTGAAACAATAGGAAACATCATGTTAACAACATCCTCCTTCAAGATTTGAAATATATAGCATTTAAGAAAGAGCGTTCTTGTGGTCTAGTAAAATAAATCTAACATTTGCCTTTACTATTCTGGCAGTGTGGACGTTCAGAGTAGTCAACATTTCAGACTTAACCTGCCTTTTCACAAGACATTGTAAAACTCAGAAGTGAAAGGTTAAATGAAAATGAGGTGTGAGGGAATGAAATGTTGCTATGTCTACACCCAGCTCTTAAGCCCTTTTTATTCACTCACCCCTCTCTTTTGTTTTCCCGGGTGTATTTAACCTGCCACTTCAGAGTTGTACATTGCCTTATGAAAAGTCAGGTTCAGACTGAAACATTGACTGCACTGTGCATCCATACTGCTAGAATGTATTAATAAATGCAGATGTTACATTTTTATTACTATACCACGAGTGTGCTCTTTCATGGATGTTGTATCGTGGTTGTAATTTAAGAACCATGGCACATTACAAATTGGAGATGTCGAATGCAAGGGGCACAAGAGTTGTATAAATACTTTATTGTAATAAAGTTATACATATAATACGTATATAGATTACAAACATTGCAGATAAATTAAAATGTGAATAAAGTTAAGCACAACAGCCAACTGGTTCACTTTCTATTAGAAGTACTGGCTCTTCTCCCTCCATTTTGTATTCTATCTTGTGATGATTTGTTTTTAATCACAGTTTTGTAGACCTTCTTTTGTTTCATCAAGTTATTTTGACTTTTTTTTTCTCCATGTTTTTAAACAAACTTTGACAGTTGTAACAGTTTTATTTTGGGCAATAGCCCACTCTAGTCAGAAGTCTGTAAATAGCATTTTGATGTAATTTGCCACAACACAACGCAAACAATTATATGTTTTAGTAAGCCAAACCCTTAATTTTGCATTACATTTTTATTTTTCGATTTTATTTTGGTGTCAAGTATGAAGTGTATGTTACTTTAGGAAATGTAAATAGATGTGTTGCAATTAGATACATTTTAATATATACTTTTTTTCAGTACACAGATTGGCCTATTTTTGCACCCTTTTGGCTAGTCTGATTCTTTCCAAATCAGAATTTTAATCTAGAAATTCTATTGCGCCAAACCAACACATGGCTGAAATTAAGATATCTCAAATTGTTTTCTATTTTCAGGAAACATAGTTCGGCCAAACCAAATTTTCTTACCATGTACAAGTCTAGTTATTTATTTTATTTTATTTATTTTTTTGTGAAATAAAGCATCATATTTTGAATTATTTTGTACAATAATATTGCATTTATAAGACTTGAAAACTTTTTCCCTAGCATTTTTATTTCAAGTCACTGTTAGGCAACTAAAAAAAATGATGCTATTTATAATATAAGAATCAATTATTAAAGTACAGTCATTCCACCAAGACAAAAATACAATCACAAAGTTATTGTTTGCTATACATTTCCTCTCATAAGTTCTTTCCCAATATGCTTTTGGCTTTAAGATCATTTTCAATGTCTGTCATTCATCAAATGGCATCTTTCATCTGTCTTAGCATAGCAGATTTATAAAGCCCTGTTTATGGTCTTTGCTCAATCTCAGTGATTGTGCTTTGGAAAAATTATGAGCTTGATGTTGACTTATCCAATAATTCTTATATAGTGCTCTCAAAAATTGTAACATGTTTGGGATTTGAAATGCTAAGCTGCTTGTGCAGAAAATGTAATGAAAAAGTTTACTCTTTACTCTCTTGGCAGAAAAATAAAATACAAAAAAGAAAAAAATATCAGTATCAACAACATATAAGCATATTATTAACAACACATAAACTGCATTATTAAATCATACAAAATGAACAGATACTTACAACATTTAAATGTTTACATAAAATTATTTTTGATGCTTAGAAAGTTAAAAAAACAGGGAGTCTACAATTGCAACCACAACAATAGCTACTCTGTAGATCAGACCACAAAGCAGAAGCTCTCAGAGCTGTTAGAACTACTTGAACTCCCATTACTCCTGGACAACAGCAATAACTATACAATTCAACAGTCCATAAAACAGTTATTTAATGGGATAAACTGATTCAAACATAATTTAAAATTAGCATAGTAACAGAAATACTTGAATATTCTAATTGTCAGTTACGTTGAACACTCTATATATGCAGACCTTCTGATTTAACAATGTGCAGTCAAACCACACATTAACTACATTGTCACTTTTAACAGCTGTAGTATTCAGAACACATCATTGTAAGGTATACCATTTTTATTTTCTCCCATTTACTACTTATGTTTAATTGCATTTTTGTAACCACCTTATTATACTTAAAGTACCAAATAGACATAGAACAAATATTTGGACCAGGCATCACAGAATTGGTGTTAGCTGAATTTATTTTTTTGGCCTCGGACATTCAACTCATTTACTGGTATGCCATGCTAAAACCATCTGGCAGACCTTTGAATTGACCAGTCAAGTTGAGTGTCCAATGGTGATACAAATGCAGAATCTACCGTTGTCCGTGATTTTCTCATCCAGACTACAAACCAAAACCTCAGACCCAACGCATATGGAGTCTACAGTTGTGGTCACAAAGAATAAAAACATCAGCATCCCCTTCAACAAATATTTTCCACATTCACAATTTAAAAGAAAACATGAAATCAGACATATATTAGTGGTAAGCTGTTTTCAACCCAAGAGGGTGTATTCCTTTAAAGATGAAACTACTGAGAATTTGGGGGCCTTAAGGACCACCCTATCGTCTACTAACACATATGGCATTTGCTGGACATAGTCACCAGAAGTGAAATGTGGACTTAGTATTGTGCCACTTCATCATTTCATACCCATAAGTTAAAATGTATTTTACTTTTATCATGTTTTATCCTCTGTTTTACCAGGAAGGGATCGGGGTGAAACATCAACAGGGGTATTACACATTAAGTTTAAGGAGAATAAGGTTAAGTCTGTTCAGGGCTTCACTAAAAACAACATAGACTAAATAGACATACAGAAATGCTCAACAAGATACCTATAGTAATTATAACAACAATACAACTAATTAAGAAACATTAATACAAGGAATGGATATCCTGTAGCAAGCAAAAGTTATCTTACTCCACTGTATCATTAAGAGTACCTGTAGCAAGCAAAATTTAGATTACAGCGTATTATTAAGATGGTGTTGGTCCGCTGTAAAAGTTGCATTATCTAGTGGCTCTAGTCTATATACATGCGTATATGTACAGTATGGATCCTTCACAACAAACGTACAGTTTAAGGAAGATGTGGTGTTTAGTTTACTTTACAGTTAATCACTTATGGGGACTTAACTACTGGACACTGAGGTGAGTATTGTCTCAGTAGGAATATAATGAACTCATCATGCAAACACCACAACACATCTGAGTTCAGGGGCTATATCCTTGCTGTCCGTACATACCTTATGGGGAAATATGTATTACCCACAACCCACACCTAGGTCGTCAATATAAATATCTACCTATATATATTGGAAAAGTAAGTACAATATTTAGCAACCTTTACCGGAGTTTTCTCCCTCCTTTCTCAGAGGCTGCAGTAGACCCACAGCCGGGTGTCTCTGAAAGACCCACTTCACTTCTAGGTTCAGGATCGAAGAGAAAGATAGTAGGGAGTCAGGATTCAAATGTCATGTACTCACCAACTATTCTCCTTCGATCCAGGATGAGCCCCCATCTTGTGAAGAATTTCTGCGGCAGCAAATTTACTCTCTCATGCCATGGTCTTTCTGCAATTTGGAACTCTCTCCTCATCCCAAACCAGCTGGTGAGGAGCCCTAATGAACGAGACAACACAGTATAAGGTTCAAGGTGCTTCTGATATTTAATAGGTAGTACAACAGATTATATTAAAGAGGAAACATGGGTGGTCTTATGAACATTATCCAATTATAACATAATTTTTCTATTTTATCTTAATATGTCTTAACCTATAGCTAGCTTTCAGGTGTAATGGAGGAGTAATCTTGCCTTGCACTACACAGTTGGAAATAGAGAAGTAACTACGAACTTAAATATAGATATGTTACTACACAGTTAGAAATATAGAAGTAGAAAACAGGAAATAAGTCAAACAGGAAATAAGACCAACGCCCTGAGATAGGAAAGTTTATAGCTCTGTGTGTAGGGGAATATTCACTAAGCATTACATAGGTAAAGTGTATTATTACCATCAATTCTATCAGCAGTTGTGAAATTTCTATTGATGAGAAAAGAAATTGATCTTTTTGCCTATTGGCAAAAAAAAATATAGTTTTTTTATGGCATTTTAAATCTTTTTTTTTATCTTATAGTACCAAAGTATATACTATTTACATTTTTTTTTTTTTTAGTTTTGAGTTATAAGTACAAGTGTACACTTTTTTTTGCCTTTCGTTGAGGTAAATTTGCAAATTCCTTGTCAATTCTCAACTGTTTACACTATTCTTCCTAAAACTAAAGAGAAATCCTAATCAGAAGAACCCACAGTATCTGGAGCTATACCAGACTCTAAAAGCTACCTGAGCATGATAGGAAATGTAGTCCAGAAAAAATTTATGGTGTGAAGGTTAGCCATCACTGAGCTACACCATGGAATAGGTTTCTTGAGTTTGAACTTCATTCAAGTTCTAATTGTGTCATTTGTAACATATTTCATTGAACTTTCTTCTCTAAATGATAACTTATTACAAACATCTCAATCATGATAGATTCTGCTTGCAACACTATCACTCAAAAACACCCATGACTTAAGCTGCTAATAACTGCTGTGGTATTTTTTCAAAAATAAAAGGAAGAAGTGGGTGGACAATAGACAAGCCACTTACCACATCCACGCTGAGAACAAAGCTTTCCCACACATCCAGTCTCTAATGTGAGAAACCATCATTCACTGTGGATAAAACAGTGACCTATCAACTTGTACTAACTGTGCACGTAAAGGTGCCAGGTACCACAAGACTCAGCCATGCAGGAAGAAACCAAGACAACGAAAAGTATTTGAAAAAAAGGTGAAGCAGCATAAGTAATTCTATGTATTTATTTTTAATGAGGTATTACCTGCCTCACAATCTGACTTCTCTCCTAAGACATGTACCATGGATGCAGAGTGTAATGGATCCCCTATACTCTGACTGAGTATATCCACTGTAGTTCTCCCTAATCTTAAATGAAGTAGTGATTATAGCTCTGGTATAACCAAACATCAGCCTAGACTTAATGATGGGTACAAGAAGACTTTATTATGGCCAAATGGCTCACCTATATGCACAGCAAGGATACAGTAAAACACACCCAGAACACTCCCACAACACATTCATGAATTTCTGAGTCAGAATGACTAAGCATAAAACATAAAAATGCCCCAAAACATCATAAAAATATATAATAACCCCACAATGACATCCTTAAATAGCCCTGATCTGAGCACTCAAGTACTCCAAATAACGCTAAGATCCATGCAGTGTAGGGTAAACGCGACTGTGTCAAAGTTCTGACTGGCCATACACATGGTCCTATGCCCAAAACAGTTCCAGGGTGTTTGGTGCTTTGGCCACTCAATGTTTGCGAGCTCCTTTGGCCGCATTACAGGGTGCTTTGCCTTGGTCTCAAGAGCGGTCTTCTGGTGGGTTTCAAAGTCACCTCATGCCAAACAAAGTTCCATACATTAGTGGCTAAGTCCCACTGAGGAGACCGGGAACCCACAAAGTCCTCATGCCGAATTTAGTTCCATAACAATCGTAGCTAAGTACCGCTGAGGACAATTCATGGGTTTCTTCATGCGAACGGCCGCCAGGGAGCTAGTGTTCGGTTCCATTCGAATGAAGGGAAAGCGCCGAACCAGGGGCACCAAGCGAAAGCTGCTTATGGCAGCTGGGGAGATTTAACTCCCAAACAGGGTAGCTAGCAGGCCCCTAGCTAGCAGGCTACTCCAGGCGTTCATGACAGATGTCCAGGGTAAGAAGTATTTGCCACACAGAGTTTACGTAAGTGATGGGACAGATATGGTAAGCTCAGTCAATGTAAATAGTCATCAGTCATAGTTTGGCTACTGTCAACAATGCTGCTGTCTAATGGTTAAAGATCAAATTTACTGCAAGTCTTTGTTCACCTAACACTTTCACTCCTTTACTGTTAAGCCTGCTGTCACTTACCCACGGTTTCACTCCTCTGTCTTGCTGTCTCTCCCTCCTATGTTTGCCTCCTCTCTTCTTTTATGCATGCCTATACTAAGATTTTGTCTGATATTTATGTCTCTTTACCTTGCTTGTGTGTTCTCTTTTCTTTTGTCACATGTTTGCTGTGTAACTTTCTCTCTTCCATATTTGCTAGTTCTGTCTTTTCATTTCTCTCCCATGTCTGTTACCTCTTTCCTTGTAATGTTTGATGTCTCTCACTTCTGGAGTCACTCTGATGGTTGGCTTCTCTCTTAAGATGTCTGTCTCGTCTATCTCTCTCTCTACAGTATCTATTCTCTCTTCTACCAATTTTGCATATTTAATTTGTGTCCCTCTTTGCTTTCCTCCCCTTTGCTGTCTCCCTCTTTCTCCATACACACTATAACTGTTTATTCTCTACCCTCCTCCCATGTCAATGTTTTCCACTCCATGGTAGTTGTCTCTTCCTCTTTCCCTTCCATGTCTGCTGTCTCAATCACTCCCTTTTAAGCTGTTTCTCATCTCAATATGCCCTTCACCCTATCATGTTCTCCAATCCTATTTTCTTCTTTCATCCTTTGCTCATCATGCACTACCTTCTATCACCTACCACATAATTATCACATGATCTTCTGTTCCATCAATTTCTTTTGTTCCCTCTATTTCCACATGTTCTCCCCATAACTCACCACTTATTTGCTCATCATCTTTCCATTGTCTTTATATTTAAAGGAAAACTAAAATGCTTGAAGAAATCTGGAGGTTTGATTAATTTACTGATCATCATCAGTAATTGAAACCCAACAATTTATTTGGCCTGGCAGTTTGCTATCAATTATACGAGTTTAATCCCCACCATTTTTGGTGGTTATGGTTCTATGACTGAACTCACCAAATTGTCTGAGTAGTTTAGTTTGTTTAGATCGCAGAATACAGTTTGTATTTTCTCTCACATTGCAATATTATTTAAATGGATTCAGCCCTTAGTAGTGATTCTATAAAATTCCAGGTTGTGCTGTTAAATCACCACTCAGACAGCTGCTGCCTTAGGCAGCCGCCTAGTTCATCTAAATGGTGGTGACTGGCCTGATGTGAAAACATCATCTTTTACTGATTTGAAGTAAAATAATTACAAAGCTTGTGCAAAACTTTGTTTGTTTCACAAACTAATCAACTTGTCTGTATCCCTTCAATCCACACATGAATGAACTTATTCCAGGACAAATCAATTTACCTGGGCGCAGAGCAAAAGCATCCTGACCCGGATTAACCAATTAGTCCATTCGTCAACAAACTCCTGGACAAGTCTGAAACTTACAATAATAGTTACTCTTAATATTTCCACTGCATGGAGCAAATATGGATTTTATTTATATATTTTTTATTGCAATCCACAGACAGGTTATACTAGCAGTTATGATCAGTAATACAACGTATGTACAGATGTTTATTAGCTTTCAAGGTATCAGATATTGCATTATGTATGACTGTCTACGAACTGAAATTTTTAGTTATAATATGAATGAACTGTTAACAATACAATACACCTCTTGGTCACTGCTAAACAAAATGCTGTATAGAGAAAGTGATGTGGCATACTTATGTGAAAGGTGTGCTACAGTAACTACCAGATATCAAGAAATGTAATGAAGAGAAGCACATTAGTGTTATGCCTCGCTACCACAGTGAACAGAATGTCGAGGTGTTAATAATACTCCGAAGTTGGGGTGAAACTGGTCATAAAACCAATTAATCTAGGGGGCGTGGCCAACCACAGGGCTAATTCAGGTCCATATGACTCGAACAAGTATACACTCCAATTGGAGACCAAGAGCTACTATGGGGAACCCCAAAAAACAGGGTATGTCCCAGGGAACATCCGGGAAGACCCCCTCTACAAAATTGAGCTCCCTAACTCGATATTTCAAGGACTCCACAGACCACAAGGCCGAGGCCACTGAGAGCAAAATGGCGGTGGCAAAGATTCAGACCGAATCCTCACCCTCCAGCCCGACACCATCAGAGGGTTCCCATAAATCTCAGGATAAAACAAGAGACAATTAGAGATTATTATACAGAGTTATTTTTCAGAAAATGTACACCTGGACACAACACCAGCCATGGTTTGGGAAGCACATAAATGTGTGATGAGAGACGAACTAATAAAATTATCCTCAGAACAAAAGCGCCTGAGAGAGAAGAGAATCCGGACCCTGACTCAGGATATAAAAACACTAGAGGAGCAACACTCTAGCGATAAATCATTATCAACCTACAAAACACTAATTGCCAAATGCTCAGAATTAACAACTACACTACAACTGCACATCAAGCGCAAACTACAACTAACAAAACACATATACTACTCACAGGGCGGGAAAAGTGGATGATTATTAGTGCCAGCACTGAGACAAGGCAAGCAATCGACCTTTATCTCTAGCATTAAACTCCCAGAGGGCTACCAAACCAGCTTAATGCAAGACATTATTAAGGCCTTCCAAAAATATTATATAGAGCTATACAATCTGTGGGACATCCCACCCTCTCCTACTGACATCCAACACTTTCTCCAAAAGAGAATCAAACATACGATTCCATCAAATATGATGGACTATTTTGACAGCCCTATATCAGCTGACGAATTCTACCACACAGTCAAACAGGTGCCTGTGGGCAAAAGTCCAGGCTCTGATGGCTTTACTGGTAAATACTATAAGACTATGTCTCAGGTCCTAGCTCAGCCATTTCTCAACACCTTCAACTCCAATAACTCAACTTCAGCTTTACCTCATTTGGCATTAGAAGCAACAATAGCCCTAATTCCTAAAACGGGTAAGGACCTAATGAATTGTGGCAGCTTTAGGCCCATTTCACTAATCAATATTGTCATAAAACTATTTACAAAAATATTGGCCACTAGGCTAAAACCTCTCCTCCCAGGGCTTGTCCACCCAGACCAGCTTGAATTTGTCCCGGGCAGGGAAGCAAAAAATAATACCACCACAATCATAAATCTATTGCACTGGGTGACTAAGAACAAGATTCCTAGCGTTCTGCTCACTATCGACGCCGAAAGGGTGTTCGATAGAGTGGACTGGTCTCTGATGCTAGCTACAATGAGACATTTGGGGTTTGGACAATGATGGCTTGACTGGTTGGGAGCGATATATTCCTCACCCTTCGCCCAACTATGTAATAATGGACAACTATCCATCCCGGTGCCAAAACATACGGCACAAGGCAGGGATGCCCTCTATCCCCTCTGATATTTATATTGGTTTTAGAACCATTCCTACAGGGTCTAAGGGATCACCAGCAGATCCAAGGCTTCACTATCAATAAGGTGGAATACAAAATATCGGCTTTTGCTGATGACCTCATTTTTATGGTCTCTGATCCAATGCACTCACTCCCCCACATACTTGACGAAATGACTAACTATAACAAGGTGTCCAACTTTCAAGCTAATCTCACTATATGTGAAATACTTCCCCCACACATGACACCAGACTTAGAAGCTCACCACATGGGTCAGCAAATCCATCAAATACCTGGGGATACATTTACCTCACAAGATTGGGCATCTATACAAATTGAAATTCCCCCCAAATTATAGCTGCAATATCAAAGGATTTGAAAACCTGGCACAGGCCAGGGTTGGGTTGGTTTTGTAGAAAAAGTATAAAAAAAATTAATGTGCTCCCTCGCATTTTATATGCACTTCAAACAATACCTATCGCACTCCCAAATAAATATTTTGATACACTCAAGTCGACCCTCACAACTTTCCTATGGTCCCACACACAGCCAAGGCTAGCACACTCACTCCTCAATAAACCGTGCGAGGGGTGTGTCTCCCAGATATGGAAATGTATAATAAGGCAATATACCTGACTAGGATCTTTGAATGGACATGAGAAAATATGACACAACAATGGACGATCATAAAAGCTTCATTCTTCGACGCTCCCATTAAGACAATCCCATGGCACAAATCAAGCCTTCCATTCTTAAAACAAAAACAACACCAAACAATTACAGCTACACTTAAAGTTTGAACGACCATGGTCCGCAACACGACCATCTCACATTACCCTTCCCCACTATATCCACTAACGCACAAACCTTTATTCCAACCAGGGTTATCAGGTAGATTGTTCCAGCCTTGGACAAGTCTTACCTCTAGCTCCAAGATATGGTGCAGAACAATAAAATAACACCCCTCAGCCATCTTCTCTCACACAACCCTTATGGGAATGCATCAAATCCAATACACACAACTAGTTCACTTTATAAAGAGCATGAAGCTCTTACCAAGGCGTGAGCGAGATCTTCCACAGTTCGAGTGGATGTGCACTTCACATCCGCTGAAATGTAAGCTACTCTCCAATATGTATGTGCTAATACTAAAGACAAGATCACCCGAGCTTCCTAAATTCACAGTAAAGTGTTCTGACGAATTACAAATCAATATATCGGCACTCCAGTGAAAACAAATATTCCTTAGAGCACACAAAGCATCCCCATGCACAGCCACACAAGAAAGTAACTATAAAAAGCTTACACGCTGGCAATACACTCCAGCTAAGATACACAAGCTTCATACTAGTGCTCAACACACCTGCTGGAGATGCCAACAACCAGATGCACACCCATCACACATATGGTGGGAATGCCCATTAATAAACACTTTTTGGAAATGGATACACACACTCACTCAGCTCATCACGGCCACACAGATACCTTTCTCCCTGGAGTATATGTTTTTTTCTTCTACCACCACCCATACGGGAAAGACAAGGAATATCTCTGCTCTCCCACCTGCTCATGGCAGCTAACCAGCTGATTCCAGTTAAGTGGAAACAGGCAAACACCCCATCAATTAGAGAATGGATCCAAAGGGTGGAAGGGGTAAAACAAATGGAGGAAATTACATATGCTATATCTAAAAATGACAATAAAAATCACCCTTATCTGGGGACCTTGGAACACCTATTTAAGGGAGGTAAATAAGGACAAAGTACTAACACCTGAAAGAGTATAGACCCAAAATTGATAGTAATCAGAGGAAATAGCTGTCCGTTGTAGATCATAGGTTGCAAATAGCAGTTGTTCTCTTGTACGACCCATACCCAAGTTCTACCTTGCGATTGGTAATGTACCTATTAGTAAGTTGATCATTTATTGATACACTCATTATAGTTGACTGATTTACCTGTGAATACAATGAAAGGAATGTTGCAAAGCATGAGGATGCTATCTAAGTTTTCCAGCTAGAGATAGCTATGTATACCTACTAAATGTATGGATTTAACCATATAAATTCACTGACTATGTACAACCATATCTCAGACGCATTCAGGCATAGAGGAAAGATATCTACAAACTGTAATTGATGTACTTATTTTTCTCTGCACCACTGTTTTAAATGTTCATAACCTGTATGTAAACATTTATACAAAATTGAATAAAAAAGATTAAATTAAAAAAACAAAACAAAAAAATTGATCTGTTTTTGAGTGTGACTCCTACTTTTAAAAGCTATATTTTGTAGAATTCAGGAATGTGTGTTGCCTTTGAGACCGTATGGTAGCCCAGGAATAAGAATTACCCCCATGATGGCATACCATTTGCAAATGTGGACAACCCAAGGTATTGCAAATAGTATATGTCCAGTCTTTTTTAGTAGCCACTTAATCACAAACACTGGCCAAAGTTAGCATTCATATTTGTTTTTTGCATTTTTCACACACAAACAAATATAAACGCTAATTTTGGCCAGTGTTTGTGACTAAGTGGCTACTAAACAAACTGGACATACCCCATATTGAATACCCTGAGTTGTCTACTCTTGCAAATTGAAAGTGTGCTATCATGGGGGTAATTCGAATTTCTGGGCTACGATGCAGTGTCAAAGGCAACATAACCAGTTTGGCAAATTTCAATGTGTCAATGAGAGCAAGATATGTTTCTGACCATTGGCATGAAATAAAATACAAAGCTTTCAAACTAAAAACAATCTTTTGAGGGCCTTATTTAGGCTGACATATCATATCTTGATTTATGAGTCATGTGGTGACTGTATCATAAGTGTCTGGAGTGGTTTGTCTTGGAGTAAATATGGCAACATTTGCACGATCCCATCAGTGGGGTGATTTGTTGGCCACATGTTGCCTATTCTGAGTCCTTTCAATACTAGTGCTTTTGCCCCTTAATGATCCAGTACTAGATATGAGGCATTGCCATGTAAAACAAGATGAGTGCAGGATATATGCCAGCAATAGCAATATCTTGCTTAAGGAGGAGTGCAGCAAATGCAGACACTACCACCAAGCCAGTTTACCGCCAGAAGGGTCTGCATAGAAGGTAGGAGACATTGTTTCAAAATTATAGGGAGAGTGCCCTTTTGATGGCCTCCAATACTGCAGCTTTATCTCTACTGTTTTGGAAGTGAAAAACCAAGTCCCGAGGCACCAAATCCAGGACTCTGGCCAGTTTAGATAGTTGAAAAAGTCCATTCAACCACACAGCTTTAGCTTGTCTTGGAGGTAGCAAGGTAATTCTGCTGCCGTAATATCTTCCAAATTGCTCCTTATATCTGTTTTCTACTATATTTTATATTTGTATTTATTTATATATAGACAAATACATTTACCATTTGAACATTAAGACCATGGGTATCTATATTGCCATTTTGATTGACATTATTTAATTTGCTAAATTGATTTTTAGTATGTGTTTTAATATTTTAAGGAAACAATCTACAGAAGAACTCAAGATTTTATTATTAAATCTTGTGGGGGGTTTGTCAATGAGCTTTCAAATTGTAACAAATATTTACAGGTATTTAGATCTGAAGAATGCTTATTTAACCAACCATCTTAATTGAAGGACTAGAGGGAGAGTAACTCTAATTTATACTTTTTAATCAACTAATTCATAGTGAACACAGAAGGGGGTGTTTGAGACTTGTTTCTAGTTTTGCATTTCCACACTATCTAGATATGTCATATTTACACCTCTATAATTGTTTTGTTTCAAAATTATATTTACTGCTTAGCATA